GGGGGGGGGGGGGGGGGGGAGGGTCATACAGGGTTAATTTACCAATAATAGCAGATTGAAAAGGACATGAAACGGTTGCTAGCTCATTGTTGGATAGAATGAGGGTCGGTTCACCTCTAAAACAGGTGGCTGCTTCCAGGTTGGGTGTGGGTGGGGAAGAGAATGGTCAACAGAAGGATATAGGTTGCCTCCAAGAGTAGCAAAGGAGTTTTTCAAAGTAGTTGGAGAAGAAGAGGATGATGTTATATTTTCCTTGTGGATTTGTGGTTAATATGGTTGACTGCTTTCGGTAAAGGAGGAGGAGAGATGGAAGGATGATGAATGGTATGGTGGATTGGAGGGGAGGAAAGGCCGTGTGTTTTAAAGGGTCAGGAAGTTGGGGCCAAGGCCCACCTTGTGACTGTTGGTGGCTCCCCATGTTATGTATAACAATCCACTCCATACAATAAGCCTAAAAATATAGAAGTCCAAAAACTATGCCTGTTAATTATGGGTTCATATCTTTGACAACTCGTAAAACCATCTAAAACTCTGACAATATGAAATAAATCAAAAAACTCTGCTTTCCCTTTCTATCATGCACTGAATAAAGGAAACATGTTTATGCCTATAGGACCTCCTTGAATATATTCTACAAGTTGGTGGTTGTCTTGAATCTTTTTTGACTGGACTTAGGTGTTATTTAGGTTGCTAGCACTTCTTGAATGCATTTGAGTTTGAGCAATGACATATATAACTGCACAATGGAAGTTCTAATTCAGAAAATCCTAGCAAGACTGTCTGTGTGCAATGGATGCCTTATTGTTGCCATGCTTCTCCTCTCTTTATTCTGCTAACAACGAGATGTCTAAAGATGACTCAATCTAGAATAAATCTTTACAAGAATATCATTCTTTTCCTGGTGCGTTCTTAATAAATAGCTTCAGTTGGATGGTAAATTGTCATAGGAATCGCTATTTGTATAGGTTTTTGTATGTTCGGGTTCAAATTTATTCTAGAAGTGTTCCTGTTAAAAAAAATATTTCACCTTTTCATTTAGCTTGTGTGGGAAGTGTTTATATTTGGTCTTTGTTTATAAATAAGTAAAAATGAGTGGTGAATAAGTGGGTATGAGTCTCACAAAATGTATGCATAAAAATTGGTTTAACCATTTTTTGACCTTATAAACACTGGCCAAACATATTCTTATTTTTAGAGAATAAAAGAGGGTATGAAACCTGTTGATAGTGTGTGAGATTTTAGTTACCAGTTTCATTGTCGTAACATGTGCAGTTTTGTCTCCATTTAATGCTACGATTTTTGGGTCTGATCTCAATTTGTGCTTCTTTGGTTGGAGATTTGTATTTGAACTATTATTGGTTCTGATAAATGTGTCATTATAACCAGAGCCAACTTGGGAAGCTCCGGTACCATGATCTTGGAAGGACAGCATCATCATAGATTTTGCAAGAGAAAATAATGAGCAATAGCTCAATCATGAGTTGGATTTTCAATCCTTGTATGTACGTTTGCAGAGAGTCTGGCTTAGCCATTCACGTTTCTTCATTGTAGTGTGCTTGCTTGCCGTTTTGTATATAGTGCAGCGTCTGCAAACTGGTCATGCGGGCTCCTCTCCATGTTGCAATTAGTGGTTAATTGAATTTAGAGCTAAGCCGAAGACAGTATGAAAATCATCAGGCTCTTAGACACGGAAGAAACATATATGGGGACAGGGAGCATCAGGACCAGGGACCAGGTTATAAATTTAATCGAAGTTCATAGACTACAAAAAAATCATTATAGATATGGACATAAACATGATTGTTGCATCGGTTCTCTTTTTGTAGTGTACTTGTTAGACGACGAAGTATACTGAGTACTGCCATGGTAAAGAATAAGGAATGAGCTTTCTTCATCTGGTTTTGCTTTTACTGTGTTGTTCATTTGTTCTCCCCCCCATGGCCCCATATATAATCTTCTATGCAAGATCTATTTGGATCTTAAAATTATTTTCAGAAGTCAATTACTAAATTCTCGGCGTTCCCCTCTCCAACCCCAAACACCTATGCTCACACAAGATCCAAAAAAAAAATAAATAAATAAATAAAAAAATAAAAAATTAAGGATCAAATAGAAAAATTATGATACCTGTCTATAATAAGTTTGTGCCAGGTATTCTGTTTCGGGTCATTGAATACAAAGTGGGAGCTGCCCCGGATAGAGAACCAACGGCTTTTGTTCTGCTTATCCTAGTTGTATTAGGAGCAGTTTCTTGCTGTCGATGCTTAGAAAACTATGAAGATTTCTGATGAACGTCGTGTTAGGTTTTAGTCTGGCAAACTAATGACAAGTTTGTGCTTTATCTCTGTTGTATCCATTATAGAACAGATTTGCTAGTCCTGAAAAGGGCAATTCATTACGTGAAGATTAGTAAAGAAAATGACGCAAACTTTGGCTGGAACTGCGACTTGTTCTATTTAAGATCTGTAGTTTATCATTCAATCTGACTTTTGTATGTAAATTAGAAGTATTACTAGTGTATGTTGCCTTACCATATTCTGTTTATGTTACCAGTTTTAGTCTTTAGTCAGGATTTTCTCTCCTTTCGCCGAGTAGCAGGGGTAATCCTGCAGTGAGATGGCACAAACTGTTGATTAAGTATGCCTTGTATTCGTTTAAGATGTGATTTAAGCTGAAAATGGATTGCATTTTCCAAAGTGAATTGCAATATCACTATGGAAATAGAGTTGTACATCAAGAATAGCCCCAAAAAGATACGATCTCAAGCCGATAACTTAGTTATTGAGACTTAAAAATTGTGTTTAGTTATTTTGGATGCTGGGAAGTCGAGCCAGATACGTAGTGTTAGCCTTTAGGCTTCCTTTATGAGGTAGAAATGGATCTTTAACTGCACAAGTTGGTAACTCTTTTTTGCCTTTTTGTTTGGGATAATCCTCAATTAAGGGTAGACATCTGTTTTTACAGTGCTCTAAAAATTACCATGACATTAGCGTATGATATAATGCAAAGCCTAACGAAAGATGTTTGGGAATCAAAGTTGCTAATTTAGCAGGTTTTCAAGGCCACTACGATTTGGTGCATAAAACCAGCAACTCTTGTTCATGATGTCTCTTTTAGCTTTATTGAATTGGTTCTTTTACGCCTCTGTCCATGGGGCTGCTAGCCAATAACATATCACGTAAGCACCTTCTCCTCTGAGGTGAACACATTTGTGCGTGTCACCTTCTCTATCTTCTTGGTTGAGACGATAAGATCATATTCCATCACCTTGCTCACCCTCAATTTCGAGGCACCTGGGGCAGAGCTCAGGGCCTTGTTTGTACTATCCTACGAGACGACACAACTCTTCATAGACTCGTCACCTAGCCACTTCGAGGCGATCAGAAGGGACCTAACCCTTTGTCGCACCAAGTAGGCCTTGTGAGTTCGATGCGGTTAACGTCAAATCTATTATGCATGTCTTGTGCAAGTTGTACTCTCTAACATATCTGACACATTGAGTAATGTGCAATATGATTGATATAACATCTCTATTGTAACTACCACTAAATCCAAATTTCAAGTACCAAAGTTTGTGCTATTGCCTTGAGGATTGTCTTAAACCATAAAGGAACACCTCAAAAAGTAAATGTTGGGACAGAAATTTTTTCCTCTTTTTAACTTTCTGTTTTGATATTCAATTGGTTATGCGCCCAATTAAACTAGACCAATTAAAGTGAACATTAACCTATTTATAACACAAGAAAACACTTGATGATAATCTATATCCTCCTTTCGTGTGAAACAGTTGCCAACAAGCCTAGTTTTGTGTCTTGAAGGTATTTACTGAGACCTTGCTGATTTATTTCTTCTTGAATTGGTTTAGTTTCACCGATTTCATCACCTTCGTCATTCACATCAACATTAGATTCATTTTCTCCTTTCCAGAGTCTACACTGTAATACTTCGTAGTCCCATTACTAAAACAAAATCCAACACCGTCAAAGCATGACTATCCTCATACAAGACACTATGACGACCTCAAGTCAAAGGACTAATTCCACTACCGAACATTAGAGATTAACTACTGACACTCAGATAGTTATCCATGTGAAATCTTTTAACAGGTCTTCAATGTTTTGTTCTATAACAAAATATCAACGCGTTCATTAAAATGTCACCACACTTTAGCTTGTGAGATCAATTATTTAAAAAATGCCACGCGTGATAATATATCCGTAATAACGATGTCTGTATTTTGTCATTACTTACTAGTTATTACTACGGATGATTTAAGATTCAATCATGTATAATTTGTATCTCATAATTACAACTCCTTATGATTAACAAATTATTAAGATTTGAATCTACGAACTCCTTTATTTAATTCAATTTAATATTAATTAATCAAATAATAGATTTGCCATAAATCGCATCAATCATATATTAAAAACGTTTATGTCCAAAGTCGATTAAACTTAGGGCAGAACACTTACAGTTTCACAATTTAATTTTCTGGTGTCTTACCATGAAAAGTTTTTTACTTTATATGAATGATTGGAACCGTTTCATGGTATACGGATGGAAAACTAGTAATAAGTGATAAATTTCCATTTCTAAACACAAGAATTATCATTATATATCGGTTTAGAGTAATTCCAATTCTTTCTAGCAAATTCAAATTCTTCAAGATTTTCATCAATTTCTTGAAAGAATCACTTGTGCTTTCTTGAGGGCTTATTTAATCGGAAATGCTAAATGAACAGCCCCTGTGACAGGGCGCCTATTTAGACGCTCTGTCACAGTGACATTTTCGTTATTTAATTTTACAAACTATTTGTCGATGGATTCCTTTAAGCACTCTAAAAAAATTCTAGAGAGAGCAAATATCTTTTGATGATAGCTTTTTGTGTCCAAGCCTATCATTCTTTTTGTGTTTGTTATCGTTCTCTCTTTCATATTTTCACTTCAGTTTTCAATGCTAAGAACCCCAGTCTGTACTTGGGATATTCTTTGTCGGGCAAATGATGGAGTTATTGATACGATTAGGAATCATCTTTGGCCAGGAAGGATGATGTAGACATGAAGGCCTTTGAGTTTGGGTTGTGCTGGGGTCCACCCCCATGTCTCAGGCCCTGTGCACAGGGATGATGTAGACATGAAGGCCTTTGAGTTTGGGTTGTGCTGGGGTCCACCCCCATGTCTCAGGCCCTGTGCAAGGAGAAATATCCTTTGAGTTTATCCTATGAAAATACCACCTAAAGGCAGCTAATAAAAAAACCTATGAACGGGACACGAGCGCAAGTGTGCAATCCTGGCCGTGTGTTTATGCTCACTGATGGCCATTTTGTCTTTACGTTTAATTAATTAGATACTTTTGGGTTATATTAGTCTTTTATCATTTTTGTTTTGTTAAGCCATTCTTGATTGCACAATTTTATTAATAATAAAATAAATAAAGTACAACACAAGAGGGGGGGCTCAGCCTAACCTCTAACTAACGAAAAATATGGAGAAAATTTATAATCGTGAGATCTAATCATGCTTCTCATTATTATGAACAGTTCGTAAAACTTGTACCATTTAACCCCTGTTTAACAACTATTATTTGAAAACTATTTTTTCTATATACTTATTTTAACCACACATTCACACAAAAAAAAATATTCTGAACGTAAACTTAAATTTTTTTCCTCCATTTAACCGCACACTCTTCAAAAAATCTTTATTCGAAACATGGGTTTTCCCATTTAATGGCCGTCAAACAGGGGCATAGTTTCGCTTTCATATTCATTGCTAGATGGTGAACGTGTGAACTTAAGGCCACACCCTAAATTCGGGGAAAATTCTTCGCATCATCTACTTCATCATTAACATAGCCAAAAGTATTTCCGGCGAATCACTTACTTTAGGTATATTAGTTTAGCTTCGAGCATGGTTCAGCTTCAAGCCTAAACTCATGGCTCGCACCTTCTGCGTGCAATTTTTGTGTGCTCGATCTACAAGGAACGAATGATGGATCACCTTTCTTCTTAAATATGTAATCTCCTTCGTTAACTGTATCTTAACGTAGCTTTGATTAGAACCTAGACCCTAGTTGAACACTTTTGCTGCTGGTTGTTATTTTTTATTGAAGAATATAACTTGGCTGCTGACAATCAGTTGAGGAAAGAGCTGGACATAAGCATATAACTATCATATTACAATTACAGTACATGTTATTAAAATGCATATAAAACAAGTAGGTATAGTTACCCGAAGAGGCTTAGGGTAAATATACGATATATACTATGATGTTCAAGCCATCTACTTCTGAATACGATTCAACCTCATGGATGAAGATCATATATTCCAGTGCTCATCACATGCAGTTTTACGGATATATGAATGAAAGGACAGCTCAAGTGGAGTAATGATCTACAATATTTCTCATGATCTGTACTTGGGCTTGAAGACATTTCATGTAGTGAGAAGTTTCATTCAGTAATCTGCAAAATTTCATTTCTTCACCGCCTGGCACGAGCTTCCGAAGATCCTTTACGAGCTTACAACCTAACCCTTTTTTAGGGTTTCCTCTTGCAGGTACTCTTCTCGTCAACGAACGGGTTCGGCTTCGTTTCATCAAAGCACGGAGAAATGTACGGTTCCGAATCTTCCAAAGCGTCGCACGACTCCAAGCTCTTCTCGGTCTGACTGCGGAAGCCATCAATCCATAGGCTGAAACCCTAATGAGATTATATCTCCTGTAAGTATCTCTGATAGATGGTGAAGATGGTCTATTCTTGTTCAGTTCCTTTAGGGCTTTGAGGAACAGATATGCGAACCTGGATTCGACTAAACTGTGGCTCGAGGGGAGTTGATTGTGAGTCTTCATGGATGGTATATTGCTGAGTACAGAAGATTGAAAGTCGAAGAAAATTTTTAGGGTTTAAAAGCTAAGAAAGGCAAAGCTTCATTTACAACGAATCTACAAACCAACTACTCCTTCTACTACCCTTAGAGACGAAGATTTTCTTCTGAGTAAATGGACCTCTTTGGCTCAGATTATCAAAACTTCATTTGAGATTTTTTGACATAAGTTTTACTATATACATATGACCAACATGCACGTGCGTGAGTGTGTGAGAGAGAGGAAAGGGGACGGGGAATTGTCAAGAACGAACGTGTGAAGAAAATGTGAGAAGACGACTAATGAATCAATCTTTTATAAATGAAATTTTAAATAAATTGATGAATAATAATGGGATTTATCTTTCATTTTCGAGGTGAAAAGATTGTTTTGTAGGGCTGGATAAGGGCCAACCACCATATGATCGCACATGGTTGCATGTACCTACTTGAATGGCTGGCCATTTTCAATTTATGTGGGCCCATTACTGCAAAATTATAATCTATTTTCCCATATTTATATTTTGCCCTTTGACGTAGTTAAAAGTAATGTATTTTGATAAAATTTGATGATATATAATTAAAAGTTGCTAAAAGGTGCATGGAAATCTCATGCATATATAAAATGTACGATCAAAATTAATTATTAATTTCGACTTAAATTTTTTCAACCTTTTAAGTTACATCGAGCAGAGGATTGCATCTTTTTTAAGTCGTCAAGCAGAAAGAATTAAACAAGTGAGCATGCATGGGAGAATGACCTGAAGACTTAGGTATATTTACTTGTTACGTAAATGGGATTATTTTTGGTAAAACCACCAAGAAGGTAGATTAATATATTAATATATACTGAAATTTTTAACCCCAAAATACAAACTTAGGAGAAAATAATAAATTGTCATGCCTACTTCGACAATGCATCTTTATGTAACCATAATACATACCAAACACTTGACCAGGAAACACTCGTTGATTTAATCGAGTATTAAGAACTATTTGAAATCAAAATGTTGTCAATTCTAAGCGAATAATGAAGATCTATTTGATTAATTAACTTTTTTTGAATGGGAAGGGGTGGGAAGGGGATTGTAGTTCTTGAAATCTTGACCTCAGTCGTGAAAACAGCCATTTCTAACTAATTAAGACAATGAGAATGGGTCAATTAACAAATTTGTTGATTAAAATTTGAATATTGAAATTGAAACAAAGAATTCGAAAAAGTCTAATTTTTTTAATTGTAAAAACTTGAAGCATTGAATATAGAAACATACATGCAAATAGAAACGCACGCTTGGATGGAGCCATTCCTTTCAATAACCAAAAATGAACATGGTAGGTCCAACTTGCCTATTGATTGACATGAATTATTGCTTTCGAATTAAGACTCCTTAACCAATCTCATAATTAGGCTAATGCTTAGACAAACATGCCTATGTCTTTCATTGGAACCACAAATATTAGCTTGTTATCACACATCAATAATAATTAAGTTCATATGATTCTTAACAATTATGAATGTAGTAACCAATTTATACTATATTCATGTTCGAACCCCACTTTTTTAGAATATATTTTATAAAAAAGAATAAGTTTTAAATAACGTATAATTACAAATTAAGGCCCCGTTTGGTAGGGATTTTTTGCCCCAAAAAATTGATTTTTAACCGTTATTTTACTATTCAAGCCGTAATTTTTGACTTCTTCTCTCACATGTGGACCCCACTTTTCTTCTAACGGTCAAAAAATCAATTCTCAAAATCTCTACCAAACGGGCCCTAAGTATGAAATAGTTTTGAATTTACAAGACAAGAAGGACAAGGACACGAGAACTAGTATTTAACTAAATACATGAAGATAGAAATCATGACAAAAGGCACAAGAAATCTAACGTATACCAAATTAGTGTTCAACTTCAAGTGTACTAAACTTGTCAATTATTATTATTATTATTATTTATTATTTATTATACATTATTTATTATTATTATTATTATTATTATTATTTTCTTTCGCTTTGAACATATATAGCCCAACTACACGTCCTATTTTCCAATAATGGATGGATGTAACCTATCACCAATTAGAATTACAGAATTGCATACCCTCAGTCCTTTTTTTCTTTTTTACCCGTTATTGATTTTGATAAAAGACTCTTCATCTTAGTTTCCACCAATATTATTTTATTTTTTTATCATTAGTTTTTAAGAAACGCAGTTGAAACTTTTATACTTGTCTCCTTCAAGAACTACTCGTGCTTCAAGCGATCTCCAAGAATGAAGATAGTAATGCCCTAAAATAAAAATTTTGTAGACACAAATTTACTAAAACTAAAGTTTCAAGTAGATCCAATATGAGTCCTTGGAGAATTGGTCCAAATAAGTTGAAAAAAGAAAAATAATTTCAATAATATTACTTAATCACCAAACGTAATTATCTGTAGCAGGTCGAATAGCGTCATAAACGAATCAATTCTATCCATTTACAATAATCTGTAGTTGTATGAGAGTGGACCTACATGTGTCCCATAATTTTGAATTTCCCACAAAGACTATGTAAGTCTTACCGTTCATAATTTTGTGTGGTAGAATACAAGTTTTGATGGTACTTAACGAACTAATTTCATAAATGCAAATCAAGGTGGGGTTTGAAAATAGTGATGAGAGTGGCATATTTGAATGGTTGAGGTGATTATGGCGGCAATAGTGAGATGCGATGCAAATCTAGTGGTGGTGTGGAGGCTTGATCGATTCAGAGCATGTGGTGGTTGGTGGGATTGGTTAAGGTTTTTCAGGTGATGGCTTATGGTGGAGGCAGGCGCCAATGGTCTGGTGGTGGTGATGATGGTGATAGTGGCGATGATGTAACATGATATGTTATAAATGGTGATGCAATAGCTGAGATATAAAATGATATGTTACAAGTGGCTACAATAGAGTAGAGACGTAACATGATATGTTACTAGTGTTGGTCGCGACTACGTAAGATAGTACTAAGTGTTACACAACTATGTGCTATTCATGGTGCTATTGTAGAAAATACTTCGTTTGAAGATGGTCACGGTGCAAATACATTCCTATAATATAATTTGTTACAACTGTTGGGGTGGTGGCGACCGTGGTGATGAACGAAACACGTGACATTATATATCTAACACGTGCAACACTTGAAATGAATTCCCTCAAAGAATTTCCCTTTAGCTAGACGATCAGTCTCTACTTACTAGGTGTGACAAAACATTTGGATGAGTTCCTATAATGGACGGATGGCTTGATGCCATTTATAATGGATTGAGTTTCTTTCTTTCATCAAATCACGCCTCTCCCTATCGATTCATTTCAGAAGAATAATTTGACAAAGAAATTTCAAAGGTAATATTTTAATTTAAATACATAAAAACAGAAGATTCAAGAATCGCATCTGCTTGTAAAATCTTGCTCCCGGTTTAATTCCGCAATTTTCTCTATCTATTGGTACATGTGTTGTAGTTAATTTAGAGTTAAGGATTTTAAATTTCGATTGCTAAAGTAGAAGTTGTGGACTACCTCTTTATTCTTGAATGGGTCAAATTCATTTGAACTTTGGACTATTTGTTGGGCCATCGGGTTTTGGACTTAAGTAAAAGCGTGTTTCTGATAAATGCACTTAATCTCTAAAATGTGAGATTAATCGTTGGCCCTTCATCTAGCTCAATCTGGACCATTGGATTTGGACATTTTAACTAGACTATAAAAGCCTCCCTTGCCTCTTTGAAATGTTGAACAGTCTCATTTTCTTCTAGGGTTTTCTCTTCATTTCCTTTCTTGAGGGTTCGTAATGCTTCATGATTTTTGAGTCCAATCTTTGTAAATTTCTTAATGATGATTGAGTTGTATTTTGTATACAGTATGAGAGATTGTGAGGAGAGTAATTTCTTCTAAGGGGAGGCGAAAGAAAACATAAGTGAAGGAATCCTTCATACATTTTGTATCGATTTTTTGTGATTCTTAGTGGATTTTGAGCCAAATCTACTTTGTAGATGCTCAACGGATGAGTACGCTTTGGCTGAACATCCAGGGCCTAAGGGGCGAAAATTCTTAGTGTTATACTTTCTGCAATTTTTACAATTTTTGAACAAATTTACTTTGTATATTATTGATCTTGAGACCAAATGTGGTATCAGAGCAGTTTGTCAAAGAGTTAGGGTTTGAATTTTTTTCTCAAAGCTTTTTGAAAACCCTAGATCGCATATCTAATTTTTTTTTTAAAATTCTTTTTAATACTTTAAAATCAAGTCTGTTTTTTGGAAACTTCCGACAAGATCTATCTTCAATTCAAATTTTATTAGATCTTCCATTTGAGTACTCCGTGATACTCCCTTGTGATACTATTTTTGATGAACACTGTATTTTCTTGGGCTTCTGGATTTTCCGAGTGATATTTCTTTAAGACTCGTTCTGAGTGAAAGTGAGTCGACTCGACTCACTCAGATTCCTGCTGATTTCTTGTGACTCACTACTGAGTTGCTGTGACTCGTTAGTTTCTTGTGTAATAATTTATTAGATCTTCCATTTGAGTACTCCGTGATACTCCCTTGTGATACTATTTTTGATGAACACTGTATTTTCTTGGGCTTCTGAGGCTTCTGGATTTTCCGAGTGATATTTCTTTAAGACTCGTTCTGAGTGAAAGTGAGTCGACTCGACTCACTCAGATTCCTGCTGATTTCTTGTGACTCACTACTGAGTTGCTGTGACTCGTTAGTTTCTTGTGTAATATCTTGGATTGTGCAATCGGTTTTGGTATTCCCTCATTACCTTCTTCATTCTGAAACACAAGTTTTTCAATTCTGGTATGAGTTTCTTACTCTCTTCGTTTCTCAGTCAATTTTTAGATCATATACTACTCATTTTGAGTTGGTCATTAAGGGAAGTGATCTACTGCTATCTTCCTTTGTCCAAGGTCTCTTACGAGGACTTGGGAATCTGAGGGGGTAGTGGATTAACGGGTCACCACCACTTATACCCTCTTTCAAGTTGGTAGTTATATCTGATTTTAATTACTCTTGTTGATTAACTGCATATTCTTGATATTAGATTGCTATATTGAAATCTTTATTGTCTACTCTCACTGTCTGTACTTATTATATCTTGTGTGACATTTAAACTTGAATCTGTGAATTTATCTGTAATCATGACTACTGCACAAAAATTTGAGGTAGAAATTTGGAGAGGGACTAAGAATTTAGTTTGTGGAGACAGAAAATGAAAGCTCTGTTAATGCAACAGAGATGTTTTGGGGCTATTGATGGGACTTGAA